ACATGCACATTGAGGCCTGAGAAATGATGGGAAGTCAGCGCTAATAGTTTAGTCTCAGAAGACCACAGAGTGTAGCGGAGGTACTTAAGGATAACCTATCAGTACAACAAGTTTACAAATATTTCTCTGCGTGGGCCTGAAATAGCACTTTTTCCTGTAACTGTTTGTCCTGTTCATCCAGGAAATTTGTGTACTTTGCCCTGTGCTTTTCTTAACGGAATCTTTGAATCTTTAAAGTACATTTAAAATAATAAAATAGCGCCCACAAATCACTGTACTGGTATTGTCTTTCCAAAGGTTATTGGCTTTCTATTATAGCCTATAGGACAGACTATTATTATGAATAAATAGCATTTGTATAGGGCCTTTCAGGGCTAAAGGAACCTTAACTCATATCAGACAAACTCAAATAACACAACAACAGAAAAAAATAGTGGTAATGTTTACAGGGGACAACAGATCTAACTAAGTCCAAAGGGCATACTGTAGGATTCTTCGTACACGGGTGGGAGCATGTTGTTTGTTTGCGTTCTATTTTTGGATTCTTCCATGTTTGTGATCGATTGGTTATTTTGGATTTAGCCCTGAAGGACAAAGGTGTGTCAGACAGCCTAGATAAGATAAGATATACTTTATTGATACCAATTTGGGACATTTTGGAAGATAAAGCTGTGTGCACTTTTGCCAGCAACAAATATGTACCATCCTTGAAAAACACAATTTCTTGAGTTTTGACCATTTTAAGTCTTTTAAAAGTATGTGCTTTTTTTATAAATGTTTACATGGACTGCCCCCCCCCCCCCACACCCTTAAGGGAATCCATCCACAAAAAACACACTGGACGCTGCACTAGGTCAGAAACCAGAGGAGACTGTGTGGTCCACCGTAGACGGACCACTTTTGTACAAAATGTCCTTTCCATTAAAGGCAGCTCTTTGTGGAATAGCCTCCCAACTGAGATACGGGATTGTCCAACTCTCAATAGTTTGAAAGGTCAACTCAAAGAATGGTTGAGAAACAAACAGACGTGCAATCACCGCTAAATGCACTTTAATACTGGGGTTTCCCTCTCGCACTTTATGTATCTCTTGTATCTTCTCTTGCACTTTATGTATCTCTTGTATCTCCTCTTGCACGTTATATGTCGTTGCTGCTACATTGTACTGCCATGTGGTTAATGCTTGTGTATGCTGCTCTTGCTCTTTTTCACTTTTTGCATATCATGTATTTGTTTTTGCTATGTGTATAATTGTCATGTTCTTAAATGTTTTATGTGAGGGACTGCGGATGGAAATGAGCTCCAAGCTAAAATCCGGCATATTTAAACTATTTGCATTTTTATATTTTAAGTGTTCATTAATGTGCATTGTCCCTACTAAATAAACGATTAAATGAAAAAAAATGAAATGAAATATAGCAGCCCAATAATATGTTGTAGTTGTGCAATAGCCTATAGGTTTGTATCAGTGGGAAGATAGATATACTAATAATAATAATAATAATAGATGGGATGTCTGTGTTAAAAGTGCCCTACTATTAAATAAAAAGATGAGGTAATGTCACCTGGAGGTTTTTACAACCTTTTGGATTCATCCTGGGTCCATGGCAACGTATCAATGTATGTGTCTGAGTGTACTTGTGTGCGTGTCCACCTGTTAGTTAACCTGTTGTTAAGTATGAATGCATGCTAACCCTTTTTAAGTGTACTATGCACCCTGTGTATCCTTGACACAGGACAGGAATGCAAGCCATCACACAACCACCAGTAAACACATTGTTTCCGCCCCAAACGTCTGGAAAGACTGCCGATGATTTATCCAGATTTCAAACAAACACTAAGGACCCATAAACAAAATGTTTGGTCTGCTTTAGCCGAAAGCGATGGGTCACATCCACACGTGTCTTTTGCAATAGTGTCTGTGTGGACGCAACAACAAGATGATGGATGGTGTGGTTTCCGGAAAGATGTTAGGGTTTAGGATAGTAAGAGAATATATGTATTGGTCCGATTGGAGGGAATAAGCAGTGGTTTAAGTTGATGTGGTTGTTTACTGCATGCCTCTCATTGTGACAGAAAATAGGATCTTTCCGTCTCTGAGGTTCCAAGGAGGCTACAGACTATAAAACAGATCAGGGGATTTCTTTAAACAACTTCCTTCTCATTTCATTACATTTCCATTTTTAATGTTTTACTCTCTAAACCTGGAGCAAAACATTCTTTGTTTACCTTTATAATCCAGCTGAAGCTCTCATTCGATTTCTTTATCTAATGATCATCTCTATATTTTGGCTATGCCATTTAGAAGGTTTTACATAGACCATTAAAAACAGATTTGAAAGTGCAGAGGCAAATGATTTGTTGGTAAATGTCAGTGCAGCTGAGTGCTGATGACTAGGTCTTATCAAATTTGACTAACTGTTAATTTCTTATGTAAACTATGGACTTTTCCTGGTCCATAAGGATAGCTAAGTATTTTTGTTGTTTAACGTATTGTAAAACAATCATATGACAGATAAAACTAATGTTTGTCATTCCACTGTAAATGACAAAAATGTCTTTCTTTTAAAAAATGTGTCAAGGAATCTCTTTAAGACTTCATTTTGAAAAGTATCATAGAAAATCCCTTCTGATTTAGCTGGCAAACGGGAATAACAGCATTTATTTTCATCTGTAGCCAAGATAAATCTCTAAGTAAAACAATCTTGATATTTTTCTCCAGCCCTGCTCTCTGTCTGTCTCTGGCTCTCCTTGCAATGGTGAAAGGCCACTAAAGACATCAAGTGAGAAGAAAAGCTGTAGAGTGGAAAGAAAGACAGGAGGTGCTTGTCATAGGACGAGTAAACACTGTCTGGCAAGAGAAAAGAGAGGTGACAGCAGAGAGAGAAAAGGAGAGACAGCAGAGAGAGAAAAGGAGAGACAGCAGAGAGAGAAAAGGAGAGACAGCAGAGACCCCCTTTCTGTTGCTCTGTTTGACTTGATAGTGCACATATGCAGTATATACACCACACAAACTGCCCTCTGCACCTTCTTAACTTCAAAAATACCCTTCAATTAAGTCTGGGGACTGAATTTAATCCCTCATCGCATTTTAATTATTATTAGCACATCATCTAGTACCAGTCACACATACTAAAAATGTTCTTGCTACTTATATCTTCGAAGTGTATCTGGACATCTGATTAAAGTTGATATAAAGCTAATTAAAAGTAGTAAGACTGGATGAAATGTTCACAAATTACTATTACTCATTTTAACAATACCCACCATAGATAATTATAATTAAGCCTTTACTCTTAAAACTTTTAATGAAAATGCTTCTTTTCATATTTTACACCATCACAGAGACTATACATATATGTAGGAACTGATTACAGAACAGATCCATCCACTTTGAAGATGAAATAAAGGTATGATGTTGAGACAAACACACACACACACTCGCATTCTGCACCTGGAGATGTTACTATGTTTATAAATCAGGGGGGTTGGCAGATAATTTTAAATAATGGAGGGGGGGAAAGACTGAAAGGAGCAGTGTAGGTAGTAAAATTCCCCTTCAATCTGCCAAGACCAATATGCTGCATTCCTCCTCTGCACAGCTCACACACACACTGCCATTTAAGGAGACCCAAGGTGCTGACAGACTGAGAAAGGAGAGACAGATAAAACCGGACAGCGCTTCTGATTTTTTACATGACAAAGTGCGCACTTGATCACCTTTGTCATTTGTGTATCAATGAGTCTCTATGGGATATCTGTGAAGCTCTGATGTCACTGTCACAATATATTATACTGATGTAATAGGTGGACAGTTCAAACTACTATGAATAACTTTGTTGGAAGAAATCTGAGATGTCCTGTCTGCATTCCTGTGTAATAATTCTGGAGACATAATTCATAATAGGTACTGAGATTAGTCAATCATTGTGTATTACTCAGCCTTGGCCCGAAGTGAAGTGAGTAAAGATGTGATGCACACTGACAGTGTGTGAGGCAGCTGGGCTAACAGGATGTGATGCATGCTTCCCTCTGTTGGACAACTAGGACAACTACTACTGCATGATCAGTGGCTCACTGCGCAAACTTCATTTAAAAATAAGAACACATGCTTTTTTATTGAGTTAATATATTTCATTTTGTATTACAGAATTCTGTACTACAGTCTTTTATAAGTGCTGACACAAATATATATATAGTTATACTTCCAAAGTTTAAAAACAAAATGGAGCATTCTTCATATAAATTCTTCAAATTATCTCATAAGTACATTTTTCTTTACTTTCAGGCGACATTTCACTGTGCTACATATTATAATGTATGTTCATGTATTTGTATTTAGACATACATTTGTTTGTGCTTTCTCATAAAGAGATAGATGTTAATGTTTCGCACAAAATAAATGTGAGAAATGTGCAATTTGCTTGAAAGCAGGTGAAAATACTGAATTGATTTGGGGTGACAGTGTCTTTGTTTAATGTTGTGTCATGTTTTGTGCTGACTTGTTTGTAGATATAGAGAGTGGTTAGGTAGATACATCTATATGTAAGATGTGCATGAAGGTAAAGGTAAGTCTTAGAGTCAGAATTTTGCATATGTTTGACAGTGCTTTATATAAATTCAAATCAGTGTGCTTGTATTTGCAGTTAATATGTTAAGATCTAGCTAAAACATTTTGATGGATATTGCTATCTTGTGACTACAGGAATATCTGTATTTGCTTTGTTTGACCACTTGATGGCACTCTTTTTACAAATACCAGTGAATTGAGACTGAGCTGAGCTGTTGGATCACTCAAGCTGCTGGTACGAAAGTGAGGAGATATTTAACAGACATTTAACAAAGTATGTGAGTTTAGAAAGAAAAACCGAAGCACTATTACATACCAAACCCCATTATCAGTGTGTTTCTTTGTTGTAATGACTGTTTTAATATCTGCGTTTCTTTAATTCTATCCACGCATGCCTCAGTTTATACAATTGTTTCAGTGTGATGAGCTTACCTTCCTCCCAGAGAACAGCATGCACAGCTGATGCATGGAGCCTCCACTCTTGGTCAGCTCCTTCTTCAGGGTTTTGGGTGAGGGGAGTGTCCAGCCGCCCTTGTGGTGCGCCCCCCCGGCCTCCAGGCAGTTGATGGCGTTGTCAGAGGTGAAACAAGGCGTGCGGGGGTCCTGCAGGAGGCTGCCCTCGCTGTGGGTGCGCCTGCGGAGGGAGTTCTGCACGCTGAGCCGCCCGCCCCCGTGCTTCTCACAGGTGGCCCCCTCCACCATGCTGCGGCGCTTGCTTTCGCTACGCTGCAGGTAGGCATCGTCACTGTCGTCTTCATCGTCCTCTTCCTCGGACTCCTCGTCGTCGTCGTCTTCTTCGTCGTACTCTTCTTCATCGGTGTTGGGTGAGGAGAGGGCGTCGGCGCTGAAGGAGCGGTCGAGGCGCAGCTCGGGGATGACAAATGAGGAGGATGAGGAGGAAGGGGGGGCGTTGGTTTCTAGTGGCTCAGAGGCGTTTTCTTCATCAGTGTTGGACACCACCAGGTTTAGGTTGACCTCCTCTTCATTCCTCTCTCCCTCATCCTCTCCTTCCCCCTCTCCTTCACCCTCTTCTTCCACTTTCTCTCCGCCCTCACTGCCGACACTCTTTTTGCTGGCCCAATCATCTTCATCTTCCTCCCTACTGCTCTCCAACGTACTCACCTCCCTCCAGATCTCCATCTCGTTGCCCTCCATGCTCCTCCAGTCCTCACCCTCAGTGGATGGAGGTGGTGTGGGAGGCACCTTGTGTCTATCCCCAGACCCCATGAGTCCCCCAAGAGGCATGTAGACCTCATCCAGAGGGGTGAGCGGCTCTGAGGTGTGAGGGCTGCCCAGGGTTGGGGGCTCTGAGGGACTGGAGGGGTAGAGGCTGCTTTCCTCACCCTCTGAGCTGCGGGGGGGCATGTGCAGGCCCACACCACCGTGATCTCCTCCGACTCCGCCCAGCTCACAGGAAGAGGCATCATCCTTAGGCTCCAACATCTAGAAAGAGAAAAAAACAGAGGGGGAGAAATGTTAATCCAAGCTGTTTTACAATTGGTTTAACTCAAAGCAAGACTGAGATATACCATGAGCAAAATGCACTCATCCCAAATAATAGCAGACATTACATTTAGTTTTCGTAAAGCCAGGATCAAACTAGATGACAGAGTATGTTTTTCTGTTGAGAAGGTCACATTGTCAGATTGAACAGGAGGTGCTGGAATATCTACAACCATGGCATGACGTAGATTCAAGATTCAAAGGTGTTATTGTCATGTGTCACAGTGTAGGAATGGCAATGAAATTCTTCTGACCCGAGCTCCTCCAACAATGCAACATATACAAAAATACAAATAAAAAAAAGTGGAAGAAGTCTATATACATGTAAATAGAATATGATATGTACAAGAACAGAATATGAAATTAAATAATGTACATTAAGACAAAATGAAATACGGTTTATTGCGGTGATTACTATTTATATAAATAAGTAGATTGCAAGATGACAAGCAGATGAATGTTTATCGGGGCACTTAACAGAGCTCAGCTGTTTAGCAGTCTTATTGCCTGTGGGATAAAGGCTGTAGCAGATTTGTATGGTGCCAAACTAGGCAAAAACAGGACTATAAAATGCTGGTCTTTTCATCCAAAAAAACGTGTCCTCTAAATGCTGTTTTTGTATACAAAACAGAAATAATGCTGTCAGAGACAACATTGATATCAGTGCCAGTGAGTTGACATTGTGATGTGGGATTCCTGTTATTTTCCTGCTACTGTGCCACACTGGAGCTCGCTCCACTGATTCACTCAGACTGACTGGTTCTGTGCCCTTGGGGACATTGGACACGAAAACAAGCCAAACCTCTCGCAGAAATGGATGATATTACTGCTACAAAGTATTAGCCACCCATCTGTTCACTCATCTATCTTCTCTCAAATGTTTCCATCATTTAAACATACTGTGATTTTCCTTATAACCAAAATTACCACACACTCACAAGAACTCCACACACTTTCAAGGGTCAACCACAATATTCTGCAATATATTCGTCTTCACCCTCTGCCTTTAGCAATCTCTTTTACTTACTTCCCAAAATCGGCTGATATGAAATGCTGCTTTAACCTACTGCAGCCCACAGAGCCCTCAGTGGGAGGATCATCAAATATTCGAACCCACACAATAGATCACAAAGTTGCTGAATATTTAAAGCTGAATAAAGAAAATGTTTTTAAAGTTATGCACACAACTTTGTTCTGTTGTTTCTCCAAACAACAAAATTCATCATAGCTCACAAAAAGTTGTTACAGAGTAAAAACTGTCTTATCAGTTTGGAGTTTTTATTTTTTTCTCATTACGAACAAAAGTAAAATTCAATAAGATCACATTAGTTCAACTGTGTATTGATATTCACATAGATGTCATAATGTATACAGATTTTGGAACAAGCATCATTTTGACAAAGCAGCTAATAAACGAATCCACATGCTGTAGCTATTCAACATATTATGGTTGTGCTCCAGTAAACATGGCTTAAAGGGGACCTATCATGCAAAATGCACTTGTGTACGTCTTTTATACATGAATATGTGTCCCCGGTGTTCCAGGGAACTCACCAAGTGTCAGAAAACACAACCCTCTCTATTTTCCTCCATACCCAAATCTCTAAAAAAGGGGCTGCAACGGATCTGATAAAAACTGATCCAGATTTGAACACTGTCCTGACGTCAGGACAGTGGCGCTACGACTATTGGGCCAACTCCACCAATCAGGAGGAGACAGCCACGGCCATTGCCGTTCGAAAGCGCTGGAGACGCTGTAGTACATATGCCAGGCCTGTAGATGGTGCTGTTCTCACTGAATCTGCCCTTGCAAAAACAGAGCTAAAAAATGTCAAATTGAGCAAAATGAGGCATGGCTAAAATGCATGATCCGTTTGGTATTTTGAAAAAAAAAAAGTATAAATATGCCTTATATAGGTATGGTCCTACACTATATTATTCAAATATAGCATGATAGGTCCACTTTAAAGAACATGAAGTCACAAACTAATACTTTCATAGGACATGATTCAAAACATCAGGTACGACATACGTGAACATAAATATAGTCCATGACCATGACAATTAACAGGATGTAACTGAGTGGATTTGTGAAATAACAAATCTTCAGCTCAGGCCATAAAATCAATTCTACCATCTATAAATCTGAAGCAGGACTTGTGAAGAGCCTCATTGTGCTGGTCCATTTAACCCATGATGACAAGCTGCAGTCACATGACGCTCTGCTCTAATTGGAGATAATGCTGCCTCCTCAGAGACAGCTCCCATGATATTTCACAAGCTACTTTTGCAGCTCAAATGAGTCTCCCCAGACACTGTTGCCCTGGTTGTACTCTTCTTTAAACTTTTCATCTGTACTCATGAACTCTGAAAATAGCTTTTGGCAAATTAAATAAGGAGAATCAACTCAGAAAACCATACTAAAGTTAGTGTCCGAAATTGTATGTGTACATAATTGATAAAAGAATGAATGTTAAGAACACAAATGAGTCTTTGTTGCTTTTGTTTCTTAGTGTAGGGCCTGAACTAGAAACATAAGTAATGTATGTCTTCATTTGTATATTGAACGCTGTGAATTATGATCTCTTTCTAAATATATTAAAATAATGTAAGCATCATTTCAATACGTTGGTCTTGATAAAGGACACAAAGGTCGCTGCTGCAAAAATATTGACGTCATATATGCGTAATGTCTGTGGAAAACCTCAAGGCTTCGACTCTTCGAAACTGAATCACTGTATAAAGATTATATATAAACCAATGTTCTAGCTCTGACTGCAGCCTGAATTAATGGCTGACTTAATTAAACTGTATAACACATAACATCTGATCAGCTCCATAACAGTCACGGCCTAATTATGTATAAGTACAACATATTAGGAAAGGTCTGGCATGCTATAAAGCATTGTGTTAATGGCTGTTTAGCTCTGCTAGGCTATCTTGTGTAAACATGAAGGCCAAGCTCTTGATTTTTCCTTCAATCTACATTTGAATCAAAACCTATGGTTAAAAAAAGTGATGGGTATTTCGGGTATTGATCTTAAGAAAATAAATTAGGGTAAAATGATTGTGTTCTGGATTGGAACACCAGGGGATCCATGGGGATGTCTGAACTACCTTGCTGCTTCTGCAACCCTGCCCTACGCAACGTAAAATGGATAAAAACATGGAGGAAGAATTCAAACACATGTATACTTTTAGAAATTTGAAGAACCCAAAGCGCAGTACTGAAACAACCGGTCCTTGGTCGCACCTTGTCAACCGCTGCTCTTTTATTTAATCAGACCTTTTGCTTGCGTGTTGGTTTGGCTGGTGTCGGTTTCATTTAAAAAAATGTCCAACGAGGCCACTGTGATGCACTTTGAGACGAGAGTTGTGACTCAGGGATAACAATATAAACTTCACTTGTCTTGATTTTCATGGATATATACAGCTGCCATAAGGTGGTCCAGACATTTCATGTTCCCTTCTAACTCCCTCTTAACCTCACTGTGATCCTGTCTAAATGGTTCAGTTACAAATAAAACACCACTACTGTTGTACTCGGCATATTAGGTGTATTTGTAGAATAAAATAACCCATGGAGAAAGTGGAAGTAAAGCCTTTGATGTTATCACTTTCTGCACCTCTTGTTCTTTCTTTGTCCAAGTCAAAAAAGGTCAGCGAAATTAGAATTATTGATTTATTATTATGTCTTTTTATCCATCCATTACATATTAGGTTTACACAAAGTTGTTGTCTTTCTTTTTCTTGACTTCTCTGAACCCAATTTCCTTCCCTGTCTTACATACATAAATCCATGACTGTTGGAGATATGGCTTGAGACACAATGGAGCCACCTGTCTTGTCACATACACTTGTTCCTTCTTACACTCTCTGCAGTTGACATAAGTACGGAAACACAAACACTCACAAAATCAAGCCACTTCAAATCAAGCCGCTGTGTCTGACCCGAGCTATAAAAAGAACAGTCAAATTAACAAACATGTGCATCTTCAAGACACGTTATCATCCTAATATTGACCACGTTGCCTACACTGTTTAAGCCTGCTTCGACAGATATATAATAGAAACAGCCTAATGGGTCATGTGCTTGTGTTTATGTGCTTGTTTAAGTGCTTGTGCAACACACAGGTACACACAAGCGTATTCAAATACAGCTCAAAGTCATCAATGATTCAACACAATGTCTTTCATTGCCTCAATTAAGCAAGGAAACAAAACCAGCGCTAAAAGGCAGGCAGAGTGGGAAGCAGAGTAAGAGAGTGAATAGATGGAGGAGACAAAGTGAATAAGACAAGCAAAAGGGAGGAGGGGAGTCAGTGAATGGCAACAACACAGAAACGAGATGAGTAAATGGAAAAGGGCAGAGAGAAAGCAACGAAAACGGAGAGGAGAACTTGGAAAACGTCCATCTTGTCTGTCTTATGTCGATACAAAATGAACACCATTACTAGTCGCACAATGACCTAATGACAACCTCTACCAGGCAACATTTCAAACAGACACAACACATTAGTATACCCAGAATAATACATAAATTGTGTGTCCAAAAATAATCTTAGAGGTGTTTTGTCGGTCTTGGTGGTCAAGGGTCAAACAGAAAAAGCCTGGATTTAGTTAACTGAGAAGATGTAATTGAATGCTTTGTTGGACAGCGAAGGCGATTGTTAGCGAGTGGTTGATGAGAGAAAACTACTGTTCATCGTGTTAGAGACTATAGCAGTTATTCGTGTGCAAGGCCATGAGGCAGCCATTATGGCAACTTTTCCACAACAAAATCAACAAGCCCCAATGAATTTGACTTTTTCACATTTTATACAATTGCATCCAGCAGGTCAACATGTGTGGTTCAAGGTTTAAAAAGTAAACAAGAGAATAGACCTAAAGTCTTTAAGCTGTATATTAATACAAACAATACCTATAGATTATCAATACTT